CTTGTACACCTTTATAGAACAGCTGGTTATAAGCAACAGCTCTGACATTTCATACTCTGAGGATTAATAGTTCTTTAATACTTGAATTTTGCAGACTGCCTAGATTCAACATTTTTTTAAAATTATTCTTCAGTGTAATCTTTTTATGCTGTTGGAGGTTGTTTCTTTATTAGTATATTTCATTTATGACAACACAAGTACAGCTAACTACAATTTATGCTTTTGTTTTGTTTTTCCACTGAGAAATTCAAAGGATTGTCATGTTTGGATGCAACCATTTTATAACACATGCTTGACCATATGGAATTGATAACTTTTATACACATTTTACCTGGGAATGAGATACCAAAAAAAGGAGGGTTTCTGTGAATTATAATCTTTTTCTTGTGATAAGAAAGCTTATCCAAAATATTCCTGAGACCATATATTGGAATAATAAAAATGACACAATTCAGTTCAATAGCTTCAGCTCAGGAGCTAAAAGCACCCTACATTCTAATCCCTATCCAATTTCATTTAGGTATTTTTTATTCCAGCATGTCACTTAACACAATTCTTTTTTAATGTCCACTACAAAGTGGACATAATAGTATCATGTTGTGTTCTTCAAATAGTTCCAATCCTCCAAAAAGTGCAAACATTGTGATTCTCTGTTTTGGATAACCAGACTAGAATGAAAATTGCCATGGAATGATTCATACAATTCAGCAATACCTCTAGCAGTCTAGAAGTGCTAAATCTTGGTATTAATGCATCAGTCCCATTTTTGCTATAAATTTGCACAGATTCAAATTTTATTATTGCAGCGCAGTTTTTAGCTTAACTTAGCAATAAGATAGGATTGAGGTTACTTTGTTGTTGGCCAGGCCAAACATCAAAGTACTTTGTATTCATGCAAAGAAACAGTATTTTTTGAGAGGAAAGAAGATATGAAAAGTGGGTAAAGGAGAAAAGAACTTTCTTCATGCTATAGTTTGGCAAGTTCATATTTTGCATTTGAAATAAGATTTTTTATTTGTTAGAGGAAAGGTTCCCTAAGCCTCTCCATCAGTCAGAGGATCTTTTTTTCTTTCATAATGCAGGAGCTAAATACTCTATTACTCAAATCTACTTCATTCACTGCACGGTGTTTCTGAAAGTACATGTATGACAGAGAGGAGAAACGTACTTCAGAATGTGATTGCTAAAACTTTACTTTTTGTATTTTATCTGTTGTGCACCCTTAGGTGCAACACAGCATAGACTAAGTGCTTTCTTCTGGCTGTGGTGGGAGCACTTAATCCTTGCACCACTAGAGAGGGACTGTTAAAAGCATTAGCTCTGTAAACCTGTGAACTTGGATACTGCTCGATGGAGCATCCTAAATACTTGAAGAAATTAATTGCTGTTCACTGCCAATGGAGCTGTTACTGAGAAACTCCTCCATTCTTCCCTCCCTGACAATGAGCAGATACCCTCTATTGCTGGCCTGCTTCTTTCTTACATGCGGCCAAAAGGGAAGACCAGGCTCTTGGGAACCTTCTTGGCTGACCAGGCATGCTTTGTGGTTTTCCAAAGCCATTAGACAGCAGTGAGTAGACACTGTAATTCCATAGATATGATGAAACGTAGGACACTTAAATGTGTGTACAAGTATCCGAAATACACAAAAAATAGAGTGAGAGTGTTACTCTGGAAGATGTAATACCAAGACTGGATCAAGAATTTTTTGGGAATATGAGTCAGAGACTAATTTGGACTTCATCAGTCACAGGGGTTTTGGAATAACCAAAATTCTTCATCTCCTTTTTATTTCGTCCACAGACATTTCAGCAGTATGAATCAAAATTAACAGAAATCAATGATAAGTCAGTTTAATGAGTGGTTTGGGGCAAGCTTGAGAAGATTTTATCATGAAAATTTCTCACATTTCCATAGTTAGGTTTGAGGCAAATCTCATACCACATCATTTCCATTCAAAACTTTCCATTTCCTACTCTAAACTCTTAATCAGAATAACAATCAGTTAAAATTGTTCTGTGAACTTACTAGGAGACTTATAGGATTTAAGTTATGTCTGCAAGGACTCAAAACATGCAATTGCTCATTACTTTCTCCTATACATGCTTGAAAGAAAGGAAATAAGGTCAAAATTAAAAAAAAAAAAAGGAAAAAGCTAGTATATATTCATTTGAAGCAGAATCTGGTATGGTCTTTTTTTGCTGATATGCAGGGAACTCTTTGTAGAACAGTCAAAGCAATTGAATTTAAGTGGAGAGAGCAGGCTTTGAAATAACAAGAAAAGCTGAGTAAGCATAAACATTATCTGGCTCCATCAATTCTGCAGAGCTTCATGATAAATTCAACCAGAAACAATATTAGTCCAGGATCTTTTACTCTCAGATGTATACATGCATTAGAAGGTGACAACAGTAAAAGTAGCACTCCTCCTCCTTTCCCCTCTCATGCATGAACACTGTTTTTCTTTACAGGATTTTTTAAAACCTTTTTAAAACTAAAAAATCTCGCTGCATCATGGAGTCATATTTATTGGTGTGGGGTTTTTTTTATTTGAAAACATAGCTGTCAGATAAAATTCACATTTAAAATGCTGAAAATACTGATTATTTTTTGAGAGTTCTACAGTAGCTACATGTGACAGAAGTCAGGCTCTCTGTCCATACTTGATGGTTTAAGTGTTTAAAAAACCCCAATACATATTTTCAAACATTTTTGTCAGATGTGTCTAGAAATTAATTTTGTCATCATACTTCACAGTCCATTCTGCACTGAAATTCTGTGTGAAAGCAGTGAAGACTGAACTATGCAGATTTTCAGGGAGACACCTGCAGCTCCTGCTTCAGAGCCGTTTGTGGACAGTACTAGTTAGAGCTCTAACAGCTGTAAATATCATCAGGGACAAAACTCTAGTGGATCATCAAGTTAAGGGAGTCTCTTCTTAGGGAAGGACAAGGTACAAACACGTCTTTGTTGATTACAGTCAGTCCCAGGAACAGATTTACTGTGAAAGAAGAAGCAAGCAGAGAGTATCAGGAGATTAATCACATTAGTAAAGACTGGAGTAGGGTATGTTATGTGACAGGATACAAGTATATGCCTTTGGAGACCCCATTTCTGGATACAGCCATTTCCACCCTTGTGTTGTGAATTTTCACAAAAACATTTTTTCTTCTTCTAGCTGACACAACATAGGTATTATTCTAATTCTCTTTAGCTCAATCTTTTAACTATGTACTACTCAAAACAGGACTTTCTTCAGGCTGGTTAAACATGCATATGCAAAGAAAAAGAGTGGAATGATTAACTGCTTTTTGTTGATTGTATCTTGTTGTTTATCATACTTACTGATGGATACTTAAGTTCATGCCATAGCTACATTGTTCTGTGCTTTTGGGCACCTCCTTCCTATGCACCCTTCTGTGTTTTGAATAAAGCATGTTTACATCTTCTGAACTATGCTGTCTTACGCAATTAAGACAAACAATCTGTGGTATGCTGTCAGCTGACAATGTCAGTACAACATGCTAGGCAGGTTATCAATTGAGATGTTGGAAGTATACTTGAAAAACTACTTCTAGTTACAATTTATAGCATATTTTAGGCCAAAAAGAATAATTATGAACATCTGCTCTGCCTTCCTTTACTAGATTTATTAAAAAAATATTAAAGGGTAGCGGAAGAAATTATTTTCTATCAGTCCAAATTGGAAAAGAACAAAAACTCAGGAGGATAATTGGATCCCTTTTTGTACAATAGCAGTCCTTCAAAAAGCTGTATGTTCTCACTGGTAATCTTAAAGATCTATTTACAAAAATAATACCTGATTTTGCCTGTTTGACTTCAAATACTGTCATTTCTAAGTAGTCCTAAACTGGCATTCTGGACTGTAGACTCTAACTGTAGATGCAAGCACAATGAAGTACTCAAACAGTGGAAATTAGAGGGAGGATAAAGAGAGCCTAACACCATGCAATAGTTTATATTTAAGTGTAAGCATATCTGTATATAGACACTCAAGCATATATATAAAAATTAGACAATTATGCAATTATATGAGTGCATTTATTTCCGAACATTTAAGAATGGCAATTTCTATCTGTTGTGCAAATTAAAATATTGATGTTTTCTGATGAGAAGTTTTTTATAAATCAGATCCACATCCATGTGGACCTCATCTGACCAATAATTGAAGATGTAGGTCTGGCTGTCTTGGTGGTGACACAGTTGTACAACTGATTTCAGGAAGAAAAGTATATCCTCTATAGCTTTTTATCAACTTACATGATGAAATATCTTATTGATAACACAAACTGAACTTCAAATGGGAAAAGGAAATCCAGTTTATCCTGTCTCACAACTGCAACATGTACTTTCTCACTGTAGGATGTCACAAGTTTATAAAATTTAGTAGATTATTTAAAAAGACACAAATGTAAATGCTTAGTAAAAGTGGGGTTCTTTTACACTGATGGAAAACAAGACTGGTCTTTATAAACCAATCAGCTCACTGAAACCTAATATTCTCAATGAAAATAAATGCATCTGTCACTTTTATAGGCAATGATCCTGTTGCATTCCCTAAGTGGGTGAACTCTTATGGATATCCAGAGGTTAGGACAGCTCAGTTTTTCTCCATTGTTAACTACCAGGGCCTTTCTTCATGTATGAAGTCTCACTGCACATTACCTTAATGTAACAGATGTCAAAGTAAAATCTTCAAGAGAGTCTGGAGGAAGGCATATGGGCCATGTGGAGACAGTGTTACAGAGTAAAATAAGTAGAATGAATAAAATAATAAAGGTCTTAGCTGTACCAGATTGACAATTAGCTAAATTAAAATCATATCTCGCTGGTACTTTTTTCTATTTAGGAGCAGATCCAACAGTAGGACTTACAGAGCTGTAAATTAGTTACTTCAATGCCTGTCAGATATGTGGCCTCTGAAGCAGAATCCAAAAACTTGTTATGCACTGAACATCATCATCATCATCATCATGCACTGAACAAGTCCAGTACTTAATAAGTGTAAGTTGTCTCTGAAGAAGAATTCATAGAGCTGAATGTTAGATAGCTATAATGGAGTAGACAAATAGACTTTAAAAGAAAACAAGAAAAGACAGCTCTGGGTCACATACTTCCTCTTCCAGGAATATTTTGCTACTTAAAACCAGTAACTTTAAATGAAAAGAAATAAAATATTCTAGGGGACAGGGACTTGGGTTACTTCAGAGTCCTAGCCACTAAACTAAAGAGTCATATTCCGCCATAGATGCTCTGTTTGTGGTGCCAGATCTTGGGAATCAGATACACATGCAAATTAATAGAGCTCATTAAGTTACCTTCTATCAGCTGAACCATGGTAACCTGCCTGGGATACTCTTCTCCTGTGGCAAATGCGAGATAAACACACAGTAACTCACACCTGGTTTCTATACTTAATGTGACTTAGCTGCCTGCTTTTCAGGCCGCAAGGGTTCAGGGCACACATGGTGTACGTGTACTTTCCACCGATGCCTCTGTTATAAAAAAAACCAAACCAAAATAAAACCACAACCAACCAATAAACATACAAAACCAAAACTAAAGACACTAAGTTTAGGTACTTCCAAGGTTAAAGAAGAGTTCACTTTTTAATTTAAATTTTGAACTCAAGTTCTTTTTGGCAACCCTTGAGCCTTACTGGAGTTTTTAGGGAGAGTTCACAAGATGTTAAGTGAGGTTAGCGCGACTTGAAGGGCTGAGACAGGGAATTCGACACCACCACGACTCAGGGCATGGAGGCACTGGCAAAGCTGCCTTTTCCCTGGGCGCGTTCCCTGAGCCCTCAGGGCCAGGACATCCCCCGCGATAAAGTCGCCTGCGCTACCCCGTGTGGGGCCGCGACAACTTGGCAGACAAAGGATGGGACGCGCCGGTGTCCGTCGTGCCGTGGCGCTGCTGTCCCCGCGGGGCGGCCGTGGCTCCCGGGCCTCCCCAGTGTCCCGACAGGCTGCGGCGACGCGCCGGACCGCTCGTCTGCCGCAGGGGGTTGTGTCCTGCCTTCACGCCGGCCGAGGCCCCGGGCAGAGCCCGATGGAAGCAGCAGGGTCCCTCTGGCAGCCTCTCCCCCGCCGTCCTGCCCTACGCGCTGCCCCGCCGGACGCTTCCCGTGCTGAATCCGCGGCCATGGCCTGCCCGTCCCGGCGGGCAGCGCGGGCAGGGTTAACCCTGAGGAATGCGGCGGGAGGAATGTGCATGTAGATGAGATGGATGCTAATCTCATGCTAATGAGCGGCGGCCGCGGCCGCCCGGGGCTCAGCCGGGCTCCCCGCGCCCAGACGGCAGCTGGGCTCCGCCGGCAGCCCTGACCCGGCCGGCGCGGCGCGGGCGAGGCGGCAGCCCGGGCATGGTGGACTGAGACCCGGCCGCGGCACAGGGCTTCCCTGGGCTCCCGCGAGCCCCCGCTCCTGGCCCCTTCCCCGGTCCGGGTCGTGGCTTTTCCCGCTTCCCGTCTTTCTTTCTGTCCCTATGGAGCAGCTACTCTCGCCGCCCGACCATGCCTAGGAAAGCGGGGAATGGGCAGCTCCCCTTACCCGATGGCTGGGAGGAGGCAAGGGATTACGACGGCAAAGTGTTCTACATCGATCACAACACCAAGCAGACCAGCTGGATCGACCCCCGGGACAGGTGGGCGCGACGGCAGGGCGGCGGCGAGGCCCGGGCGGGGGGTGGGCTCGGAGCGGCGCCGCCGGGGCAGCTCCGGGCCGGGGGTCGGGCGGGGGGCGCGCCCGAGGGTCCTTTCGGGACTGGAGGGGCGCGGGGGGGTCCCCTCTCGGGGCGCGGGGGGGGGGGGGCAGGAGAAGCCCCTGCCTGCGTGGGTACAGCCTATTCCTAAGCCCGTTGCGTGAGTTCGTGTTGGAGCTAGGGGGAAAGCCCGTAGAGCTCTTCCCAGAGTGGCCGGGAGTTGCTAGCGTTTGTGGAGTTCCGACAGGTACCAAAGTTTGCGAGTCTCTCCCAAAGCGGAGGCGCTGGCTCCTCGCCTTCCCTCTCCCCCGGGCTCTGCAGAGAGGGGCCACCTCCCTCCCTCCCAGCTGGCGGAGCATCCCAGGCGCCTGGCCCTCCTGTGCCCCCGCTCCCCCGGCCCTCGGTCCGTCTGGAACGCTGTGCGGGGCTGGCGGGGAAGGACCGCGGCTGGCAGAGGCCTCGTGCGCTCGCTAGGCCTCAGCAAGCCCAAATCCGCTCGCTCCCCGCCAGCCGGAGCCCAGGGTGTTTGTTGCCCTTCCCTGGTCTGAGCTCTGTAAACCTCCCGTGGAAGTGCTTCGGCGAGCGACGGACCCAGCGGGAAGGCTGCTCGCCTTGGAGTCCCCAGGGCACGTCTGCCAGCTGGTGAGGGATGCTAGTGACTCTTTGGGTCGGCTTCAATGCTGTTTTTAACAGCAGGATCTCAAGCGCACAAGATACCTATTGTAAAACGTATATTTTGTCCAAAGCGGTGCTGAAAAGTAATTAGAAACCAAAACTTGGTGCATATTATGAAGTACGATGTTGCTATTGAAAATAGTGCAGCCTAATTATAAAAAAGTTTTAAAAGACATTATAAGTCTATGGAACAAGCAGCACTGAATTATAAATGAGGGCCTTGGCTTATGTTTCTCAGATGAAATTAGAAAAGGTAGTTGTCACGAAGCTTGCTGGCTGTATGTTGCATAGGAAAGTTTTGACAAGCATCATGTGCTGTGTAAGGCCTACTGCTCTGTCCCTCTCGCTATAACAGCAAATTCCAGTAGTGGCAAACTTAATACTTAAATTCCTCTGTACTTCAAAACATGTTAATTACCTTGTAAATATTAGTGAGGTGGTAAGGTATTACAGGACGATGTTATTTGTTACACCTGACCTTCTCAGGTGATTTTTTTTTTTAATGCAGGCACTATAAAACTTCTGGCTTTACTGTCTCTAGAAATAGTGAATATGAAGTTTTGTTTAGTTTTAGACCTTTAATTTGTGTTTTCAAAGCAGAATAGAAGATGATATGATTGAGGTAAAGCAAAATTGTGATACTGGAGTGCACTTTTTATAATACTGCCTCATGAGTATACTACTAATTTAATTTTTTAACACATTCTGTAGTCCTGAAAAGTTCAAGAGTATACTTATTGGATGGTAAAATTTGAATCTTCACTCTCATTAACAGAGTAGACAGCAAAGTGAGTAACACTTGTGTGTTTGCCATCCTACAGAGATGGAATAAATATTGTTTCATTAATATCTTACAGGTGAAAGAGAAATCAAGTCCTGAGACTTTACTTCCTTAGTTCTCATTACAGATTATAAAGACCTTTTCCAGAAGAGTAGTGTTTGAAATAATTGTTAACCTGTGTCAGTCATGCAAAACAAACAAAAAGAGGAATTTTGCCCTAGGTGCTTGAGAGAATCCATGCTTTAGTGTACATGGCTCAACTGTGAAGCTGAATTGCCTGCACAGAAGAGAGACTGACAAACCTGTTTAATGTGCAACTTGCAGTATTTGTATTTACAATATCCCTGTTTCCAGTCAGTATTTATATTGGTGACCTGTTTTGGAAAAACGAATAAGAAATGCATGAAAGCCCTGCAATGGCTTTGCTCTAGATTCCATTTTTGCTTCCAGGTATTTAGAGAATATACATTTGGAAACCATACAGGACATAATTAGAGCTTGCTGTCAAAAAAATTGAGAAGTGGTTTTCCAGGTTTGTCAGTACAATAAAATCTGGATTCATGCTGTTTCAAAAACGTATCTTAAATTGTCAAAATGAAAGTAGTGGACTCTACAGAAGGACTGAAAACACATTCCCTTGTCTGATGATACTTTACGACTTTTTTGCTATTTTCTCTGATGGAGATGATAAAGTTTTCGTGATGTACTTGTGGAATGTCGTTGTACATAGGCTCCTAAAATCTTTCATTGGTAAAGCACGTGTAGATTAGATACATTTTTATGGACAATATTCCTTCTGATGTTGTTACACTGCATTCCCTGGATGATTACATAGAAAATTCATGCCTGATGTTTTTAAATAATTTTTATCCTCTTAGATTTAGAAGATACCAATACCAAAGACTAGTGCTGTGAGACATTAGTCATATGGTTGTGGGCTGCCAGGTGTATTTGAGCACAGTTAGGAATGGTTTAAAGTAATCATATCTAGAAATAAGTTGATGTTGAAAATGCCATATTTCAAAGCTTCGGAAAATTCCGTGCTTGTGGCTGTCGGGTTTTTCTTAATACAGTGATGCTTTTTCTCATGTTCTTTTCTAGACTGTTCTGATAGTATATGTTTTTGTTAGTGCTTAGATGGTGCAGGTTTGTTAATGTAATTATAGCCTTGTCGTACAGCTGCGGAAAAAAAACCTCACATCAGCTTCAAGCTTGGGGCTCTGTTTCCAGTTTTGCCCACTTCATTTATCTAAGTAATCCCACTGAAGTTAGAGAATCTCACTCTTTCAAGGGCAAGAGTGACTTGGCTTGTTGTGTTTTGGGAGTGTTGTGGAAGGTCAGGGGGTTTTAATGTTTTGTACTATTCAACAGTGATTTTTCTCTCCAAACACTTAGGATACTGTTCTGATTTGTTTTGAAGACTGGTGGCCCAAAAAAGAGGGCACTTTAAGATACAAAGTATGAGAAAGAGAAACATAAAGGCAAGAAAGTGAGAGTTGTAGTAACATTTTCACTCAGTAAATATATGGTTATGATTTCTTTTTTTATTACTCCATCACACTACAGCAAACTGAGTATTTACTAGTCTTGATGGTTCTTCTGAAACCATTTTATTGTAAGACAGGAAATAGCCCAAAATATCAATTGTATCCTTGACAAAGTTATAGAAATACAACTGTGGACTGAAGAGGACAAGCCAGATGAAAAGGGGAGAAAGGGCTAGAGGAATTCATACTTTTCTTTGAAGTTCCCTTGAAACTCTTTCAGGTTCTTGGGATACTGAGATATGGTAAGGTATTGATGTGTTTTTGTTTCTTTTCTTTTTCTGATAGACAATTAAGAGGCAATTGGAGTGAGACAGAAATTTGAAAAGGAAAATATCTCTTTTTTTCCATCATTCAACACATTGTAAATGGGCCTTATGTTTGTTATATTTCTTAGTGGAACCAACAGAATAAAGCACTAATGAGGAGTAAAATGGGAACCAGGAATCTCAATACCCTGAATTTTTCAGCAGTTTTCTTGATTGGTTCAGCTTGGTTTTGTTACCATGAATGCAGAGCTTCTCATATCTTGGTTTCTATGTCATAAATAATGCAGTGCACACTGCTGATCACAACTGACTCAAAACAGATGATTTTTTTTTTAATAGCTTGGCTACAATGAGTTCTACATTACAAATTCTGAAGCTACAAGTGATCTTTATTAAATGTTTATCTGCACTCCTGTCCCACTCCTGTCAGTGGTAAGGAGTATGAAAACAGAACTATGCTGTCTTTCTGTCCTCACTTTGCTTTTCACTGAGGAGAAAAATCTGTTTAAAATGTATTTGTACATTTGAAATGTTCATGGTATAGTTTTGCTAGAATGTTCGTAGAGCACTTGTTAACTGTATAACCAAGAAAGTGCTTGAGAACATCGTATTTGCAGAAACCAGAGAACCTTATGAGTTAAGAGGTAGTGACAGTTTTCTGTGTGAATAGGGAATCCGGTTTCCATTGTTGCTTTTGGCTTGTGGGGAGGTGAAAACACTACAGTTTTTAGCGTGGGATTCTGTAACTTGTGTGAGATTGGATTTGTCTGAATTTTTGAACATTTAAGTGTTGCTTGCACTTTTCCCTTAGAAAAGAAGGGCACTTTGTTCCTTAACTTCTCATTGGAACTTGCTTTCTCTTGTCCTGTAAACAGCAGAGACTGTGAAGAGTGAAGATACTGAGGTTTAAGTTATTTGAGGAGAGGGACTTTGATCCTGTCTCTTTCCTGGACGCTACTGTGGTTTAGGGGTGTGTGGTAGAAGACTTCCAGTCATAGCACTCCAAGGTGTACAGCTTGCAATAATACTGTAGTGAGATAGGACAAGAATTTTTCTCCCCAAATGTCTTTTTCTTCTTGGTTTCATCCTGTAGTATCATTTGCTGGTTTCTATCCTAATTCCACGTAATTTGTTCCTGCCTCCTTGTCTGCTCAGGAATGTGCATGTGCCCTGTGAAACTGTCTGGTATCTCATTCTGGTTTCAGTGATGGGTTGGGGACTGCTTTTACTTAATTGATGTATATTTATTGAAAATAAACCTGTGATGCAAGTACTGAACATGCAATGAGAGGCTAGCTGTGTCTGAAGTTCTGACACCTTCATTTGTTTATCCAGTGTAAAGCAGAATTCTAATATTGCAGTGCTGATATATCTGTGATAGCATCAGGTACTGTTAAAATACATAGTGATTGGTATGTGGGTTTTTTAACCAGTCTGTCATTTGCATGGGGCTATGTGTTGTTGATTTTTAGCATTAATGAAAATGACTATGGGAACTCTGAGATGACACTTTTATTCTTTATTTCTCTGAGAATGATAGGGCTGCACTGTATCTTTCATCTCAGAGCATGTGAAGTTAACAAGTCAGGAAATGCTGCAGAGTATTTGCTTATGTGTGCAAAGTATGTACTGCTGGGTACAGCCAAGGACTGTGACCTGGTATGTAAAGTGGGG